AGAACGTCGCCGGTCGAAGAGTTTGGCTGGGTTTTAGAGAAAGAACCAGAGAACGACTATACTCTAGCACCAAATGTCGGGGAATCAAGAACATATCTCCAGTATCGCAACAAACCTGAAACCCCTGAGGGTCTGCAGCATTCCGCGGATAGGAATGTTTTGAAACCGCTTGCGTTTGCGTAAGTTGCATCCCATGCGCGTGTCTCACCCGCACATTTTCATGCAGGAGCTATCGGGGCATTTCACCCTTCGTGTCCTGCTTTGCCATGTCGACGTGGACGACAGCGAGACCCCTTTGCTCGAGATCAACAAAATGGCGGTTTTTAACGACTTCACACTCGTCCTGGCGTGGAGCCTCCAGGTGAAGAAACACTGGAATATGTGTCATGGTAGCTTAAACCTCGTGGGCACACACTTGGAACACACGTGCATAGGCATGTCGAGCACCTTGCGAGGTACTTCAAGCCGTTGTCTTTCGTGCTCTCAAGCTATTACGCTCTTACTTTTGCAACACACGACGTTCATCGAACAGGAAGCAGCCAGATACCTGGAGACCTACAAGGCCTACGAGCACAAGTCGGCAGACAGCATTCAAGAGAAGGTGGGTCGCAGCGGTCACACACAAACCGTCCCATATTTTCACGCCTCGTATACCGGCCACCGTGATATGGACCAATGCAAGAGCTGCAAGTGTTTTTATGCTTGCAGTTCAGAAACAAGGAATTCATGCTTGGCCGTCCCCGTAGAGAGTAGAAGAAACTCCAAGTGTGATCTCCAAGTGTGATTAGCCCTACGACTCATGCCGCTTTTATCTCGGCCTGATACTGTACGTTATTACAACACTCGGTGCTATCAGGTTGACGACGACTTCCTTGGGAAACTGCAGGATTGCTTTGGAGTGGTCAGGTCCGTCAACAAGTCCGACGTGCTCACTCTTGCATCCAACTTCGGTTCTCTCAAGGCCGTGTGCGATGCGACTGCCGGCGAACTGTCCTTGTGCCCAGGCCTCGGGGAGAAGAAAGTTGCTAGAATACATGAGGCCCTGCACGAGCCATTGGTGCGCAAGCACAGCAGTTCCAGACTCAAGCGGAATAGGACAGAGGGCTGAAAGAGACAAATTCAAACGTAAATCTTGTGTGCTTGTAGGACATGTTTTTTTTACCCGACGTTCTTTCTGAAACGCGAAGGGGAGTTATCTGTGCTCGAATCCCGCGAACCGCTGCGGCTGTGATCGTTGGCGTCGTGAGTTGGAGGCTGATCGCATTCCGAGGAAGCCACGCTGCCGCTGATGGGGAATATGCTGCTCCAGTGGCAGCTACGGTGTTCGTGGATTCGGCTTCTGCTGGGAAATTGGCTGTCGTTGTTGTGGGTTTGGGTCCGTTGCCGCACCGAGCGGATGCTGGGAAATTGGCTCCCTTCATCGCGGGGTTGTGAGCTATCTGCAAGCTCAGACTTGGGCGTCCTTGGCGGCATTGCGAACTGTGCGATGGCGGTGATTGGCACCACGTTTCTTCTCGAGGGGGGTAGCACCTGTGGGGCCGTGACGGTTGTGATTGTCGCCGTTCAGTCCTTTCTTACTGCCCGACAAAGATCATTGTCAACGTCTGGTTAGCCCCACGTGGTTCTCGGGGAAGATTCGTTGGAGAGATACCCCCCTCCCACGGTCGGAAGCGGAACCGCCTCGTCCCTGGCGAGCAAGGTGAAGCTCTCGGGACTTCTGCGATGCTTGGGCCTTTACACGTCTGTTGATTACGTAGGTTGCAGTCCTTCTCCTTCCTCGTGGCGGTCTGAAGATGGTATTGTGCGCCGCGCACGTGATATTGTAATCCATCCATCCATTCTACAAGCTCGGTTACGATCAAGTAGCTGGCACCGTGATCAGATAATATTCTGGGTCGGTGTTGGGCGTTGATCCCAATCAGAGGCTTGTAGGGCCATTTCCAGCTTGTCGGTGGCGTCGCTTAGTTGCATGGTGGTAGAGCTTCCACGCAATGACACAACCGCTGTCGTTGTCGAGTTCTTGCGCTAAGATATAGCTGTAGCACCAGCACCAGTCAATAACCTCTACTGTGAGTGCGTGAAGTTTGTCGGCCAAGTCTCGCTTGGGGTTGTTATTTTGTACTTGAGCCAATTGTCACAGCCTTGATGATAGTGAAGACAGGACTGGTAATCACGTCGTCAGTTTGAGCAGCCTGTGAAGGCTAGGTGGGATCTGATACGAAATGGCCTTGTGCATCGGGGCACCAATGTCAGTTCTCGCGGCGAGAGATCTGGGTGCTCCCGTGCCAGATCAAGGATTCGCTCCCTGACGTGACCGGGAATGCGATTCCACACCAGCGCAGGCATTGGTGCTTTAACTTCTAGCGCTGCCTTGAACATGTTCGTCACATCATCGACGATGTGCGTGGAACGCCCAATCGATTCAGCGCTTGTTTGGCTGATTGGGCAACAGAAAGCCGGAAAGTGCAAGCACAGCGTTTGTATAAACTCGGTGGAGAAAGGCGTTTCTCGTCCCTCCGGAACTGCCCGAAGATACATGTTTCGTGGAATAGCATTGTTAACGTCCCAACAGTTCTTCTACATACCAAAAGAAAAACAGAACAAACACTGCCCACATGTCTCACCCCCACCAAACAAAGCAATGCCGCTAATGCACACGACGAGTCTTCAAGCCTCACACACTGTCAGGCCGACCGCTGCTTTCACCGTCTATTGCATCCAGCACCCCAAGGTCTTTCAACTTGTCATATTATTAATGTACCTGCCCGACCTTCAACAACTCACCACTATACCTATGCAAGGTACGAAAAGACAGACGGACAGACATGCAGATATAAGATATTCATATGAAAGCAAACGGTCTTTGAAAACAAGCAAAGCAACAAAACTTAACGACAATCCATAAGCCACATTCATAACGAGCTTTTCAGCCGCCTTTAAACTGCAGCGTGTTGTAGCTCAGCAAGTTGCAGGGAGCACTTTGCTCACAAAAGAGACGTCCATGCTTCTTAAGAATAGCGGAGTAAACCACGGCCAATAGTTCGTAGCCTTGCTCGTTCCAACCACCGCCTCCTCCCAAATCAGCCATTGCAGCGAAGACATCATTTTCACATATTTTTCCACCGGAGCCCCACGAAAACAACGCTTGGCGGAGTTTGTAATTGTCTTCAGGATCGGGCATACTAAACGCGCTACCTGCCCACTTATGGCCTTGCCAACGAAGCGCTTCATGATATGTAACATTACTGAATATTTTCTGCCAAACACGCTCGTACTTGGTGTTCTTCGTGATCGTTTTCGCAATTTCCAGGCAGCGTTGCAGTATTTCGTCGTCAGACAAGCTCGCCAGATAGTCGTAGGATTCCTGCCAGCCATACCAAAGCAACAACGTGCACGTCCGCGCACCATCGCTCTCGACACCATCCTGAACGTACATCTGTACACTTTGATGGTTCACTTCACCAAGAAGCATCTTGGGGAAATCCTCATTGTCGTATTCCGAGACACCAGTAATGTTGCTCACAGCAAAGAGTTTGCCTGACCTCATGTCGGCGGGTAGGTCCTGTTCCTCTTCATAAATCCTACCAAGAAGTTCAGGGAGTCCTTCAATCCTGATCATAGAACGCAACATTGTTGTGCAGACGACGATGTCCACGATGAAAGTACTCCCATCAGACGTTGTAACTAAATACTGCTCGTCTTCTTCTTTGACGGATACTACCGGAGTACTCTTGCGGATATCGACGTCACACCCGGTTGCATGTTCCTCCAGCGCATCTATGAACTCGTCCGGGAAGGCATTCCTTAACACACCTCCTTCATGTTTTCCGAGACTGCATTGGTGGTCCTCATACCCGTTCACTATCAAGCGCATCACCGCCAAAACAGATTTTTGGTTGATGACTCCAAAGCCACCAGAGCCAACCCCTAAAGTGTCGAATTTATTGAATTCTTCCTCTCCCCAGATGCCGTCGAAAATGGTCCGGATTGCCTCGCCGAAAGTAACACCGTCAAATACATTGATCCACCCTTGGATAGCGTTAACCGCCACTTGTGAATGGCCCGATCTCAGCGATTCATTTATTGCTGACCACGCTGTAAGACCACACCAACCATTACTAAGAAACTCCAAGAAGTCTGCTTGAACCTTTTCGAAACCGAGAGGAGCTGCTTGTTCAGTAGGCCACAGCACCGTTTCACTATTATAGTGGACAAGTGTCGGCACTACACCGGGGTCAGGGAAGCCTGCCTTCATGACAAAGCCTAGCTCTTCAATAAGGTGGCCAAAAATGGATTCGCCTTTGCCCCATCTCATCATCCCCATAGGGGCCTTATTGCCGTCCGGGAAAACATGCGTTTTTGCACGACCCTGTAAGTTATCATCTGCTTCCCAGACAATAACTTCTGCACCTGAGCAGGAAAGAAGCGAAGCCATTGCCAGGCCTGTTTGCCCCCCGCCAATTACGCCAACTTTTTTGCCGTCCAGGCCATCGCCCTTTGAAGAGAGCACGCCGCCGTTGCCGGTTATCCAGTCAAAGATGTTCGCTTCAGGAAGATCCATGGAGTATTCTCTCGAACGGGTGGTCCTTCTTTGACGACTGCTTTTTTTGTAATGTATTTTCTAGAATGCAGACCTGCTGCCTACCTGCTACCAGAGACAGATGCGAGAGAGAGAGAGAGAGAGAGAGAGAGAGAGAGAGAGAGAGAGAGAGAGAGAGAGAGAGAGAGAGAGAGAGAGAGAGAGAGAGAGAGAGAGAGAGAGAGAGAGAGAGAGAGAGAGAGAGAGAGAGAGAGAGAGATAGGAGGGGTGGGGATGTGGCGCATGGTTAACACCGTCCTGTGGCTCCGTTCGTTTACGGACGGCAGGTCGACCGACCGGTAGGGGGGCTTTGTTCACAGCACACCCTCAAGGAAGGTACCACAGATAATGAGGAACTTTTTGTAGACAAAAAGAGTAGGAGGGAGGGGATATCTGCGATACGCCGCTGACCAAACGGCTATGCCTGGGTACCCTACAGGGGATTACATAGGACCCTTCCCTATAGATGCCCTACCAGTACCCTGCCAGGAAGGTGGTTGCCTAATGTATGTGTCGTCGCTGGGATATCCTGCAGGGGTCAGAACCTTGTCAAAGCCCTACTGAAGGGTTCGAGGGGTGGTTCGTTGTGGTCATTTTTATGGGACGAGGGAAGCGCCGAAAATAACCCAGAGACCACGCCACCTGTACATTTGCACCAAAGGCTTTCTTGGGTACTGCCTGGTACTCCGCTTTTTGATAGAGTTTTTTCCCCCCAAACAATAGCAAAATGACGACAGCGTCGGCAAAGAAGACAGATAGATCATTTCTCCTGATGACGTGTGCCGGAGAGCAGCCGACGAAAACGGCGTCCAACCCCCATCACCCCAGGCAACACTGCTTATGATCGAAGCAGTGAGACAGAAGAAGGGTATAATCACCAACAGCAGTCAAAAGTCTTTTGTCTACGCTTTTGGATTTTGCTGAACCTCCACAATAAAACTGGGTGAGGCTAATAAAGCCGAGGAGAGCGAATCAATGTGAGATGAAAAAAAAAGAGTCAGTCTATGGATACATGGATGGACACAAACAACATCGTACAGCATGGACGGCCTCTTCTGACCCTCTGGCCTAGTCTTGCTGACGCGTTCTTCATATTTATTTGCCCCCCTCCGTTCGAAGGGATAGGGATGTGTTGAATTCTTCACAGGAGTTCATAAAGTAAGCACCAACCCGCATCAAAACGCCCCCTTCATTCACCTTCCGTCCTCTGCTTAGTGTCGTTGTGAAGACGTTCTTGCTTCAGCGGCGGTATCCAGTCACTCACGTGCCGTTACCCGCAGGTCCAAATCCCCCCCTAATACGTGTGCGCTTGAATGCTTGACGAAGACGAAGAAGACTGCAGCGTGTGCATTTGAGCTTCAAGCTTGAATGTCGGTGGTGTTTCGGCATTTCTTTCGAGCTTCAAGCTTGAAATGTAGTCTAAACCACCAGAGACTAGATACAGTGGTATTTTTCCGGCCCCCAGCCCAGGCACAAATGATTAATATCTCCACTATGCAGACGATTCACACAGCAAACTATATATCATGTGAAAGCTATGAACGAGAGCTTTCGAATGAACACACTTTTGGCTGCGGCAAATTAGATGGGCACGAGCTACGCTGGGTTGGCCGTTTTCATAGAATCGGCGAGAAATAGGAAAAACGCGCAATCGACGACGAAGACTTTTTTTGCCGCAAAAAAAAGTTCCATTTTTGGAATCCCCGCAAAAAATGGGTTCTAAAAACGTTTGGTTGGAACCTCCGAGCGTCTGCATAGCAGAGGAAAATTTCAAATTTCTCAGGGCGTGCAGGGTACGCTTTTGCCACAGATCTTGGGCGGGACCATGGACCCCGATACAGATGCGCTGCTGCATGTGAAGGGAACTCTGCCTGCTGAGTACGAGCTCGGAGAACTCGAGGTGCACAGAGGGGCTCCACGAAAGTACCGCATTGGTCTGAAAGCAAGACACAGCAGCCAGGCCGGCCAGCCGTTACTTCAGTGGCACAGCCGGACGTTCACCACGAAGAGTGCACGTGGCAGAGACAGAGCCGCCGAGTCTCAAGCATGCAGAACCATCACAGCGCAAACATGGTTAGACCTTGCAGCAAAGACCATCCAGCATGAAGCGATCCAGCAACCACCCTCCCGGGTTACAACGGGTGTCAGACTTGCAGCTCCCGCACCTGGTTCTCTTCAAGAACCTGGTGTTGGAGGCGCCGAAAGGTTGCGAGAAGGGTGCGGCGGCGCCAGAGAGGGCGCCGGGAGGAAGAAAGGAAGCCTAGGAAAGAGGGCCCGGCGAGAAAGAGCTACCATGCTGCGCGAGGAGCTCGTCAAAGCCTTTCCAGGCGCACTCGAACTTCAAGCTGGGACGCTGGCAGAATTGTTGCGGGCGTGGAAGGCAACTGAGCCTGAGATGGCCGATGAGGCGATGAAGAGGTACATGAACAAGGGCACGTACAACACATCGCAGGCTAGAAAAAAGATCAAGCGTGCTCGCGAGGCAGATCTCAGAGCACGGGCGGTTGAGGCGGCGGCGGATGAATTTCGCGCGGACAGCATCGAGTATTTTGATACCGTGTTGAGGGATGCGCAGAAGGCCATCAGTGCGGCAGCGGCACTGGAAGATGTGAGTGTTTTTTTTGAGTGTGTAAAGAACTGCTGTACAGCAGTAATGTACTGCCGCAAACTACTTTCTCCTTTAACCACTGTACTGCTGTGTACAGTGTCACCACTCGAATAAGTATACTGCTGTAAAACACTGCTGTTAAGTTGCTGCTGCGTCCGCCCAGCACCATGGGCGCCTCTGCTGTGCAGTGCACATCCGAAAGCAATACTGTAACGTTCATTTCATCGACAACAGTTGTTTAACCCCCCCGTCCCCACACCCTCGCTCTCTCCCTCCGGCATTCTCCACAGGACGAGGCGAGCGCACCGGGGGCTGCCCTGTCCAACTACCAGCTGGCCCACGTGGTTCAACAGGCCATGACGTTGCTCCATCTGTACCTTCTCCAGCAAGACGGGGTCAACCGCACCGATGCGCTAGCAGCTGCCGCACGAGTGGGCAGACGAAGCATTGGAACCGTAAACGACTGGGAGCATGGTTTTCTAGCACGCGGCAAAATCAAGCCGCCAGAAAAAGGTCGCTTCCAGCGGACCTTTCTCCTGGAGCTCGACGAAGGCATCCAAAAGCTGGTGAAGCAGTGGATGCTGGACAACTGCGGCATACTGAGCGGTGAAGCCAACAAGACGGCAGAAGATTTCCGCAAGTGGATCAACAAGACCATCATGCCCAAGCTGGAGGCGCTGGAGACGGAGGACTTCGACCCTTTCGACGGCTTGAGAGTGCGGCGGGAAGAACCAACAGAGAAAGATGGCGAGCCCCCCGTTCCCGGGAAGCGTTTCATCTCCCTGTCTACAGCAACGGCATGGCTGAAGAAGCTAGGGTGCGAGTACCACGGTGCCAAAAAGGGTCTCTACTTCGACGGCCACGACGACCCGGAGACCCTCAAGTACCGGAACAACGACTTTCTGCCGCAACTGTTCGACGCTCGCGACCGCATGGACGTGTGGATTCCGGTGCCGAACGAGGAAGCCGAGGCCTGGGGCATTGATGTGAACGAAGTGCCGGAGGCCGACCGCATGCAGGAAGGTGACGGTGTCTGGGTGAGTGTCGACGATCTACAATCGGCGTTGGCGGACCTGTCGCCTGACCTGCAAGCTAAAGTACAGAGCAAGAAAACGTACCCGGACGGGAAGAAGGCCTTGCTTCTCTACCAGGACGAGAGCATCTTCCGAGGTTAGTGGGAAGTCAAGTCAAAACATAAAAATATTGTAGAGCAATGCAAAAATTGTCGTCCACCACGTGAAGTTAAAGTTGCAAAAATACTTCGACAAGGTTGGGTTGTGTGCAGTGGTCTCGCACATACAGCAGTACTGTGTAGGAGTACTGTACATTACAGCAGAGTACTGAACGTTTTTGTTGCACTCTCTGATTCTTTTTTTTTTGGCCGCCCCTGTTTTCTTCTTCTTTCTTCGGCAGCCAACGACGACCAGAAGTGGGCGTGGTTCAGGAAAGACCAGCGTGTGGTAATAAAGAAGTCACCCGGCCAGGGCATCATGGTGTCAGGAACGATCATCCACAACGTTGGCTTCTTTTCGGCGTCGCCGAGCCAGGTAGCTGAGGCCGAGAGCAACCGGAAGAAACGTTGCCGTGAGTCGGCCGCTGCAGCTAGACGAGGGGAGAACATCAAACCAGAGAAGTACCGGCCAATCGACATGCTGCATGTCGACGACGACGGCAACTATTGGTCCTTCCATCTCTTCGAGTACGGCAAGAACAAGGAGGGCTACTGGACCGGTCTGAAAATGCTGGACCACACGAACGACGTCCTGGATGTGGTGGCCGTCCTCTACCCCAACCACAAGCCTGTGTGCCTGTTCGACTGGTCGTCCTGCCATGACTGCCTAGAGGTCGGCGCGCCAAGGGTGAGCGGGATGAACGTGGGTTTCGGTGGAGTGAGAAAGGGAGAAGAGCTTGCGGCGATGGATGCCGTGACGATTCTGGAAGATACGCCACTCCTCAAAGCTGGCACGACACAGCACTTGGTTTTCCAAAGGGGGGACGACCCCCCCTTCTACGCCGAGCACCTCCGACCGTCGGAGTATGTCGGGAAGCTGAAGGGGATGCGGCAGATCTTGTTCGAGAGGGGGTTGCTGAAGAAGGGCATGTCGAAGTTGGGGGGGACGGGCGAGAAGAAGGACCTCAGCATGAGCATGGAGCATGTTCTGGGAGAGCAGCGAGACTTCAAGGAAGTTGACTCTAGTCTGGTGCTGTTGATGCGGCGGCACGGGGGAGTCTGCGTGATGCTCCCCAAGTACCACTGCGAGTGCAACCCCATCAAGCTCGTTTGGGGCCGTGCGAAGGACTGGACGCGCCAGAACTGCACATATTCGATGGAATGCTTGCGCAAAAACGTGCCGTTGAGCTTTAGACCGGAGAAGGATAGACAGGCCATTGCGGTAGTCCAGGCTTACTGCAAGAAGGCTTACACGCATGCCCTCGTGTACCTGAAGGCACGTGCACTTGGACCCACGGGCAAGGAGATCTACAAGAAATTCAAGTCCCACAGGCGCCCGACGCCGAACACGTGGAGGAAGTAGAGAGGCATGCGTTTGTATTCCTTGTGCTGTCCAGCACTGACTTTTTTCCCCCTGTTTTCGCCACATTTTCTCAGCTTTTTTACCTGTTTTTTTTTTTTTTTGTGTGAATACACGTATTTTGTGCGGTTGCTCGTTGCCAAAAGTTGCTGTAGGGTGATACAGTACAGTAGGTGAAGGGTACCTGCGTTTGTGCGGTGTTTGGGGGTGTTTTACTCGACGTGACGCATGTTTGCAACCAAAAAAAAGAAAAAGAAAAAAAAAAATCGACGCAAAAAAAAACAAAAATGGTGCAAAAATGACCCAGGACTAACGTTCGAGCCCCGGCGAAAGGCATAATTTTCCCTTTTTTTTTTTTTTTTTTCCGACTCGCTACTCTTTTGCGCCTCTTCGCGGGCGTTAATAACATTTTTTTTTTTTTTTTGTTCTCCACTTCAGTCAAAATTTATGGAGGGACAACGAAATTCGGCCTCAGGAAAAATACCACTGTAGAGACGAAACAAAATAACGATCGATCAGGATCAAGAAACGAGACTGTGAGCTACGGTATGCACAGTCTCTCCGCTGTTACGCCGCATGTATGCATATATACATACCACATACAACCGTTTGTGAGCGAGAGGATACAGAGAGAGAGAGAGAGAGAGAGAGCAAGAGAGAGTGAGAGTGAGAGAAAGTGCATGACTAATGAGTATATCAGCGCTTGCAGAAGCAAGGGCTCCTTCAACGGCACCAACAACAGTACGACTGATTGGGTACACACACACTGTCAGCAAATAAATGGTGGTATGATTACATAGCAGCAGTAAGACAGTCTATCGTAGTCGTTCCATACACGACACATACACCTGTACCTCACCGATGCTACGGTGCTAGCTGGATCCTGGCGAGGCGAGTGCCAAACCCACGGGTACAACGCCGAAAGAACTGTGGATAGTGACGAGCCCTACTGTACCTCGACAGCAGTACTACTGTGTAGTAGCATTGTTTCGTCGTCAACTGCGGTTTTTCGCCAGATGCACACACTACAATCGCAGTCCGTTGGGGTCTCCAGAAATCGGGAGCAATGCCTCGGCAGCGGAACGATGACGCGGGCAAGCACCACCACCAGCGCCCGGCCTCTCAAACAAAATACAGGAGCGACGTGATCTAAGACACGCGATTCGACATTTCCACAGGTCTCTCCAACAACATCTCATGTAGAGCTATGCCACCAACGCCATAACCTGTCATTGCCTTGTTCCCGTCGCAAAAATGATTTCCCTCAACCATCAAAAGGTAGCTTATTTCCTCCGTTCCACAGTCCAAATATACAGGGTATTGTAGAGAACGTTGCCGATCGAAGATTTTCACTTCCATGTAGGGAAGAATTAGAGAACGACTCTACTCTAGAAGCAAATGTCAGGATATCTTCAACGTGTTTGTTTAAGTCGCCACAGAAACTGGGCAAGTGAGGGGCGGCAGAACCATCGTCACCGTGGAAAGAAACGCATTCTAATCGTGCGTGTGCGTAAGTTGCATTCCCATGCACGTGTCTACATTTTCGTGCAGGAGTTATCAGGGCATTTCGCCCTTAGTTATCAGGGCATTTCGCCCTGCTTTGCCACGTCGACGTGTTGCACGGCAGCGAGACACCCCGTTGCTCGAGCAACAGAATGGCGGGCGGTTTTCAACGACTTCGCACTCGTCCTGGCGTGGAGCCTTCAGGTGAAGATACACTGTACTTCTAGTGGTAGTGGTTGTACGTATCATGGTAGCTCAAGCCTCGTGGGCACACACTTGGAACACATTCATAAGCATGTCCACCACATGCGAGGTACTTGAAGCCAGTGGTTTTGTACTCTTCAGCTATTGTTTACGCTCTTACTTTTGCAACACACCATGCCCATCGAACAGGAAGCGGCCAGATATCTGGAGACCGACAAGGCTTACGAGACTAACTCGGCAAACAGCATTCAAGGGGTCGCAGCGGTCACACACACACACCGTCCCATATTTTCATGCTTTGTGTACCTGCCACCGTGACATGGACCAATGAACAAGCACCAATCGATACTTCGTACCCGTAGAAAGTAGAAGAAACTCCAAATCTGACCACTCCTACGAGTAGATGCCGCTTTTCTCCGGCCTGATACTGTACGTTATTACAACACTCGGTGCAATCAGCTTAACGACGACTTCCTTGGGAAACTGCAGGATTGCTTTGGAGTGGTCAGGTCCGTCAACGAGTTCGACGTGTTCACTCTTGCATCCAACTTCGGTTCTCTCAAGGGCGTGTGCGATGCGACTATTATACCGGCGAACTGTCCTTGTGCCCAGGCCTCGGGTAGAAGAAAGTTGCTAGAATACACGAGGCCTGCACGAGCCATTGGTGCGCACGCACAGAAGTTCTAGACTCAAGCGGAATAGGACAGAGGCTGAAAGAGACAAATCCAAACGCAAAGCGTGTATGCAAGGTGAAACCGTTACGTACAGTGAGGTTGGCCAACAACACCTTGGGAAGGGGAGATTCAAAACAAAAATGTACGAACACATGGAACGACCGTAGTCAATCAGTCCTTCGGATCCTCCACCCCGACAGGGCCGATGGAGAACTGGCATTCGCTCTCCGCCAGCGTTGGAGAGTCGAACACCTGGCAAATTCGGTTGTCGCCTCGCGCTTTTCGCAGTCGCAATCTGGAAATGAGATTCAGAAAGATGCAAGGCGACACACCAGACGGTAGTTGGTATGATGGTCGACTTGGTGGTACAAACAAGGCTATCTTGCACTCCCATTCGTGTGCTTCCTTCTCGACCAAATGCACACGAGTAGAGTTGTGTCGAGACAGTAGCATTGTCGCTAAAAGGCAGAAGCTTTACACATACAATACAGCCGTTTCCACTCAAAGTATCTCACCGTGTGGTGGAAGCATGCGCGATGATGTTTCCTCCGATAGGCTTGGTACTGTCTTTGGCGAAGCTCATCCCGTCTGGGTTTGCTACTACTTGGTTGGTCAGGACCACAGCGACGCCAAACTCTTCCGCCATCCGTGTGAGCTGCCGCAGGAACCTAGACGGGTCATACGTCCGAGCATGAAGAAAGGAAGAATCGTCAGAATCGATGGTATTAAGGCCGCCGCCCTTTTTATTCCACCCTCTGTTCTCTAGACTACTGTAGTCTGTTGTGCTCAGGTAGTCGAGGAGATCCTAGAGCACATTGTTGTCTTGACATAAAAAAACATTACGTTGTGCAATCAAAGCATGTGGTGCTGTTGCTTCGTGCACACCGCAAGAAAAGCTGGCAGCGCCTGGAAATCAAGAAACTCCAACGTCCTCGTGTGGCTAGGAACGGCCAGCGTTGCAGGCACGTACTAGCTTTCCGCATTAACCCACGTAGATACATTTCACGTGCCGTGTACAATGTATAGCCCCCTCTCTTTCCACTCACTGTGCCAGCTGCATCTGTCTCTCTGAAAGCTCTCCTCGGCCACAATAGTCCGTGCGGTAGAGGGCGGTCGCGCTGTCGATCACCAGCAGAGCGTACCTAGATTGGTCGTTGAAGGTGGAGGCGAAGGATCGTGTCAACTCGTGACGAGCTGTATTACCTAGTAGGTTTTGCGGACAACGCGCTGCACGGCTACATTAACGTGATAAACGGTGACATCTAAACAAGGGAGTAATAGTTACCTGTCCTCAGCCATCATCGCTGATGCCATCTTCAACAGATCCATTTGCTGCTCAGAGTTGTGCGCCCTAGCGTAGGCAACGTTCTCCAGCACGTCGTCTCCTGTTTCAATCAGCAGCACCGCACCTTCATCAGCGATTCTGAACCTCTCATTTTACCGAACGTGAAAGCAAAATGCCACGAATCTACGTGCTCTAATCCTTCAGCGGTAGACGCTTGCTGCAGGTGGCTATTCGAGTGCAACCAAAACGACAAAATGAACGTCGAAACCTGGTGAGCGGGGCGAACATGCCAGGTTCCCAACATCACCCCACCACCCATGCGTGGTGTGTAAGGGTCAAGAATCTGTGAACTTCGAAGGATCCGAGGTACAAACAAAAGGGCAAACGACCACCACAGGGTCGTCCACAACCAACACAGCAGGGGAGAACACGCGGAGGGGCGGCAGCACAAGTACCAGAAACACCCTTCCGATCGTTTCGACATGAAAAACAGAGACAGAGCACGCGAGATTTAAGTCGCCACTAAATGGCCCTTATTACTCTGAACAAAACGTAGGCGCTCTGCTGTGTTCCGTTTGGATTAGGGTATACTATCTATTGCCATTAACCCAACTCGTTCCTCGTGAGTCACCAAAGTCTACGTATACCTCTCCCGGATTAGTCTGCAGAATCGCCATTTAATCTGCTCTCTGCAAGGAAATGTCCTGTCGTGGCGTCTGCTTCATCAGTAACTGACTCACCGTTAAGGCCGAACCGCTCTGCGATCGCTGTTAGTCGCTGGGGTCGGAACGTGCCTTCGGTATCGATGTACATGGCTTTCCCCTCCCCTCCACCGGCATCAAGAGGCATCTGGCAGGCCACGCAGAGGGTGTGGCACAGCTGGGTCTTGCCTGTACGAAACTCCCCAAACACCTCCGTCAGCGACCCTGTCTCAATGCCCCCCTCGAGCAGCTTGTCTAGCTCTTTGCTTCCGGTGGTCAGGGTGATTAGGTCTTGGCGCTGGAGCAAATGCTGGGAAGCTGTTGTGAAGCCGATTGGGACTAGCTTATACACGGTTTCCTTGAGCTTGGCTGCTTTCTGCTCGCTGATCCCTTTCACCTCCACCAGCTTGCGAATGGTGCAGTGAGAAATCTGCAACCGGTGTTGGACGCACATGAGGGGCGGCGGGGTTTTGCTTGGAAGGCGAAGGCCCGATAAACGTTATAATTGAATCCGCCTCACAAAATGATGGAGATGGTGCATCATGAACGGTGTAGAGACACAACTACAACGTCTGTTGTTCGCTTTCCAATCTCCATGCAGGGACAAGTGAATGCTCAAGTCACCGTTAGCCGTTTCTATGATACTGCTGAACCTTCCATGTTGTCGCAGTTACACACAGCAGTGCACCGCCGCAGTAGCTGTTTGCCACAACTTGTACTTACAGTCTCTACACGTGTGTACAACACTGAGTAGTGCTAGCTTAGTAAGTCTCACGGACGTTACCCCTGCTAAGAAGTAGCACGCATCCATCGTCTACCGTCTACACCGCCCTTACCGACTCTACGGTGCAGTAGCCGGCCTCTGATAATCGCTGAACATCGTTCCGATTGATTCCGTGAGCTTCCAGCTCTGTGATGTGGTGGAATGAAGCCACTACCTGCCAAAACGTACACATGGAAACGGAGGAGGCATGGGTGTGGGACGTACTGCTGTGTGGCTTCGCGTGGCGTGGAAGCCGCTGCCTCTGACACGGAGAAGATGTTCTGGCATCCTACAGACTACCAGGTACTGGGTATAGACTTCAGTGTTGTAGGGATGTTGGTTTGAAAACACTCACCTCTTCCGCGGCTTCGCCAGATTGCTGGACCTCGCCGGATTGCTGCATCTCTTCTTGCGCCGACATGTTTACGTACCTCACGAGTGCTTTAGTTCACCTGAGGCCTGCCTGTTCTGTCCACTACTGTCCAGTGAGTCTGCAATCAACGATGTGCGCGTTCAAATATCGGAGTGCGCGCGCGTTCAAATATCGGAGTGTCGCGAATTTGCCGTGGGGGAGACGTGAATCAAAGATGGGGTAGGGATAAACCGCGTCGCTCCTAGGACCTGGTAGGCATTTTTCCTCGACCACGGCGCGCGCACCGTTACACATGACGACAAATCGATGACGACCCACCGGCGTGCGAGAACGGGGACAGGGGCTGCCCTTGCACAGCATAGCATGCAGCTTCGAGAAAGAAGCAGTTGCTTCTGCTGTTCCATAGAGGTCATAGAAGACGAAGACCCAACTCTGAGCCTGCTCGGCACGCCGTTTATTCGCTCAACGTTGTCCATTTTCGTGGTCGAGGTTTGAATGTTCTGACCACGAAACCATGGTCATTGGACCTCAACCGAGATGTGCCATCCTGGCTCAGGAGCGCTACGTCAAGTTCCCCAAAGAAGGTGACAGCAGTACGATGTTTGTTGCGTTATGTAGTGCAACTACGAGGTAAAACGTGCAACGTCGTCCTGTGCATGGCAAACCTTGACTGCGAGGGACATCTCAGAAACCAGTCCTGGCTGTAACATCATTCCCTGCTGTGTGTCATTCGATTATTTGCTACGAACCTCCTCGTATATACCCTACAGGAAGGGTGGAATTTCTCCGTCCCTATCTGGCACGACTAGGGCTGTTCCCTCCTCGTCGCAACCCCGAGAGTGCTCCCATACGCATGGAAGAGCTTCGGGCTCTCGTTCGCAAATGGAATCTGCACCACAAGAGAAACTTCTGGAGGGAGAACCCCACAAAAGACGACGTCGTTGCTGCCTTGAACCACCATATCAAACACATGAAGCTGGTACATGACCATATCGAGAACAAAAAAGCGGAGAGAAGGGAAGCTGATAGGAAGCGGCAGGTGCAGAACGCGATTGGCGAGGGTGTCAGCTCTTCGAAGATTGCGAGCTGCATGAAGAGAAGGCCGCCGTTGGAGACTTCGTCCGATACATGCTTGTACAACGAGGGGGTAGCTCTTCCTCGACTTGATAGACCAGCAGATGCCAGTCTTCGGCCTGACTCTATTGAGTCCGGAATCATATACATGTCTCGCTGGAGGCAGGACAACGGCAAGGGTGACAAGCTTGCAAGCGACAAGGGGGAAAAGGATGCCCTCCACGAGAAACTCGAACGGATGAGCGTCTCTCCTCAACACGATGAAGCAGAAGACGACGGAGATGTTGATGGCCTACAAGCCTCCAAGGACGACATGAACAAGATGCAAGCGCAGCGAAAGTGTTGCTTGGCCCTTGTTAACATGACCATGCGAGATCAGGTACTAGTCTAGACGGTACATAGAACAGAAACCCCATAGGCCTATTGCACTGGTGGAGGCTGGGCGCCGTTATCTGACGACCATGTTGCATAGCACTGATGAGGACGCACACACAAAGTACTTGCCGTGTTACGTTTCTGCTCTCTCAGCGTCCTTCCTTACTCCGATCTTTCACTTCTTGCGGCGTGCCCGTTCGTGGTTACCACAACACAAAATCAGATGAGCCAAGCCTTCTTGGATGAGTACGGCCTGCTCCCGCCGCTTCTAGAGATCACCCATGCCAACCAGACTGTGGACGTGCTACTCATGGGTCTCGCATGTATTTTGAACATTCTGAGCGAAGAATACAAGATCAATAAACTTGTCGAAGCCGGTCTCATAGGTGTTGCTAGACCTCTCTCAGGCCACGAAGACGAGCGCGTCCAGCAACACGCCGCGGGAATTTTTCTAGCGATTTCATCATGTTCGGGCCTAGAGGAGTGGCTGGTGAGTGCTAAGCAGTTTCAGGTCATACAACGATGGACTAAGAATTTCGTTAAAACAGCCTTCTGAAGGTCCTAGGCAGGCCCTCCTCTTGCACTCCGAACTGTGGGATAACCTTTATCTTCTCTTCTTGGCCTTTTCCATTGTCAACCAGGTCCAAGATGGTGCAATCCCCGCACTGAATGCGCTTGCGAGGAGTGCAACGGTCCTCACCGCACAGCTCGCTACTGGCGGTCTTGTGAACATCGCGATAACGTTGACAGCTGCTCAGGCGGATTCCATGCAGCGGGTGGTGATGCGGACCGTTACCAACCTGTTGTCAGGCTCGTGCGATTCCGATGGCCTGCACTTTTGCGCGTTGGCAGCAAAAAATCTGACTGTGCTAGACAACGTGCGGGCATACCTGGACGACCAAGTGGCGGGGATAGCCATAGACATTTTGGCGAGGCTCGGGCCTGACAGCGACGACACGGTCATTCTTTGCACGGCTGCCATTTTCAACTGTGTGGCACAGAAGCAATCGCGTCTTCGAGCTACCGACAAGAACTTAGTCGCTGAGTGCCAGAGACTTATCAGCGTTTGCGGTTCCGATGCGCAGCACAGCTGTACTGTCCTACTGGCGGAGCTTTCCAAGCACACCGACGTCGCAAACCGGTTGTTGGACGGAGGAATCTTGGATATATTCTCGACGAATCTCAGCGCTGCTGATCCGCGATCAGGTAAGGATCAAACTTGGTAGGCAGTGAGAACTTTCTGCTTGCTCGCTACGTCTACAATGTTTGTCTCGTGTGTAACGGGCTATCTCCCAAATACTGTACCGAATTTATTTCTCTACCCGCGCGCACCGAACAACCCTCACTTCGCAGTCGCTATATCTGCGGCTGGTCTAAGTCACCTAGCGGCGGATCCCGACAATCACTGGCGTGTTCTCGAGTCCGGCAACATGCTCACGATGTTGCTTCAGGCACTTGTTCTTGATCACGCCTTGGCACAGCGCCACGTTCTTCGCCTGCTATGCGGCCTCGCGTCAAACGAAGCCACGCAAGCAGAAGTGGTGTCGGCCGGGGTTGTGCGGGCTGTGCAAGAGATGAGCAACAGAGACATGCATGCGTCTGCGATCAGTCTCATCCTGTTCAACATATCTTGCAACCCCAGTCTCTCTGGCAGGTACGCAGACTTACAAGTATCGCTCAACGGTTGTGGGGTAGAAGCATTCATGCGCTCCACGCGAATCATTGCGCCGTTTCGCCATTAGCCAGGGAGCTTTATTCTAGCTGTGTGCCTCTCGACTGCAACATTGTCTATCCTGCCGTGTTTCTTCGGGGAGGGTACGAGTTTGAAAACACGTGACGTTCGATCACTTTTTATGGTTGCGAAGAGAAAAAGGTGTGCTGCTTTGACAAGAATCACTCAAAACGCTCCCTATCTCTCTTGTTGGGTCCATTCTTCTCAGCTTGCTCGACGAAAGCCTGGCCGTGCCCATGTTGGTGGAATTGGTGAAGAAGCACAATCTATCCGTTCAGGCCGCATGCCTCGGAGCGTTGAAAAATTTGTCGTCGGTCACCGCTTTTCACCGACAACTGCTCGAGCGAGGCGTGTTGGAGGCAGTCGATTCGTCTAAGGATGTCGACGGAGGAGCCCTGAGTGCCCAATGTGCTGCAATTCTCTACAACTTTTCCTTTGAAGAGAAGAGTATTTCCAAAATGATGGAGCTCGGAGGCATCTTCCTGGTGACACATTTGTCCTACTCAAACATCATTAAGGTCAGCTCGAACTTGTGCATTGCTTCTGTGGCAGACACGTGTTATCCTAGACCATTGCTGCGGCATTGATACCTACATGTTATCTTCGTGTACTCAGCGACGACATATCTCTCTACCGTCGCCGTCACGTGACCAGCGTTTTATCTCTCCATCCGGGGATTTTGGTGGTGTTCTATGTTCTGGAGATAACCCGGCGCAGCACATTTTTTCGAGGCGTCTAGAGTTGAAGAACTTTTGGATCATCCATCGGTAGTGAGACTTGACCGCGCTTTTCGATACGTCGCACTCTCTGCTCGACAGACGAAACAGCTCTGTGCAGCTGCGTTCTGCAACGTGACGATACACAAGGTAATCACCGACGAAAGCTTCTTGGCGGCCCTACTGCTTCTATCCACCTCAACGGAGGCCGTTCTAGTTCTGTGCTCTGCTAAGGCCTTGAGCAATTTATCAACGTACCCACGAGGACGATCTTCTCTCGGAAGCAACAAGAACGTGGTGCCAGCCCTCATTGCCATGATGCGTTCTGGAGTAAAGGACGCTGCCCAGGTCCAGTTCTTGTCCGCCATTGCCCTCTGCAACGTATTGAGCGTCTTCCTCCAGAAAGAGAGCATTGTCACTTTGGTGAGGGATGGTATGATCCAAGATCTCATCGCCGTAACCGTGCTACGAGTGGAAGAAGTCAAAACGAAAGAGACGTTGGCGAGGGCGATCTTCAATCTTTTGGCGAGGGAAGACACTCGGAGTCTCGTCGCCGATCAGGACGCTGTATTCGCATTGGTTCGGTTAACCAGACTCCAGAGCCCGGATCTCAATACCATATGCGTGCGCGCGATCTACAACTTGACGTGTGAGATGTCGCGGTACGAAAGAAAGCTGCTCGAAATGGAGGCGGAGCGAGTGTTGGTTGTACAGGCGTCGTTTCCAAACGGAGGGGTTCACGTGAAGAAGATGTGCGGGGCCGCCTTGACTATGATGTCCTCTTCCGGGAAGGTCGCGAGCTGTTCTCTGGCGAAGAAAGGAATCGTCGGTGCCCTTCGAGCCATCATGTGTGTTCGGGATAAGGATACTCTAGAGCACGTGGCGACAACCGCCTTCAACCTGAGCCGTGAGGATTCCTGTCTACCGACCATGGCCGCCCAGGACATCACGACCGTGTTGGTTTCCCTACATGAGTTTGGGAACACCATTGTGAAGAACCTCTGCGTGGCAACCATGTGCAATTTTTCTTCTTCGCTTGAAGCACAGGATAATTTGGCCTCGCCGGCAGCATTTGGAGTGCTGGCAAACACCGTACGCGCCGGCTCTTTATCGCTTGCAACACGCTTAGACGCGCTTCGGACAGTGGTCAACCTTGTCACGCACTACGCGCCAGGTCGAGAAAAGGCTGTGGAATCGTCTACAACCTCTGCCCTCTGTGTCATCCTCAAGGTCAGCGAGGAAACTCTGTGTGATTCCGATGCTTGTTTATTAAATGTGTTCCAAAGATTTCCTTTGGTGACACGAGCGGGTGACTCCGTAAGTTTCAGAAGAGTGGCATAACGTGACCCATCCATGTGACATAGTTCCAAGCAAGTAGGCAGACTCTGGTCGTTGGTGATCTCTATTGCTGGTGGTATATGGTTTGGTGGTAGAGAATCGAGTGCGCGGTCTCCAACACTTGGGACGTGCAGGTAGTGGGTACGCTTGAAACACCTGTTTGCTGCGAGACAAAAACTGTAGAGTGTGCTACGGCCTCTTCTTGAAACACAGAGCATGTATACATCGTTGCACAGGCCCTGGTTGATGAGGAGGACAAGCTTCTGGTCAGCAAAGCGCTGCGAGACATGTCGTCCTATGCTCAAGGCCACCCGCAAATGATGAAGGAAGATGTTTTGCCGGCTTTGGTGCGCCTCGCCAAGGTCGAGAACGCCGAAATTAAGCAAGACGTCGCAACAGCTTTGTGTCGGTTGTCGGCGTCGGTTGAGCTGGCGTTTGACATGGTTGACGAGGGGCTACCGGAGGCACTATATTGGTTGACTCTGGAAGATCTGTTGGGCCTCAACAAATCTGTGCTTCTGCGTTGTAGTGTGGTGTGTTGCAACGTCGTTCTTTCCGACGATGCGCTGAGGAGGGTCTCCGGCGAGAGTGCGCGTTTCTCCAAGGTGTTACAGCGCCTGTCCGATACGAGCGATTCCGAGCTCCTATTGAACGTCGCGATGGTTTGCCTGAGGATCACCGGCTTGCGCGAGTCAATGCTTGCGTTCCATAAAGGTACGGTTCAATGAACAGAAGTTTCTTTCGATTTGGAGGAATTGAATCGACAATCTGTGTGCATTCGGGCTCCATTTGTGTCTTTCGTACATCGGGTCCTCACGTGAAAACAAACCATGTCACTTTTCGTACGTTCTCGTTGTTTGTTCAGCACTTTTAATTGCGTAATTGGATTGTTGAATAGGGCATGGAGCTCTGACCGGGGTATCTGCGTGTAAGAGGGAAGCTCATCAAGTCAACATGAGAAATGAGCGCATGCATGCGTGCGTCTTGTGCCCGCCGCTATCAATTCAGTTGGAGGTTACACGCACACTCTAACTTAACATCCCGCACCCCTTTCCATCGTATTTGGCGCCCTATTGTTTTCAAGATGGACTGGTTGCGCATATGCTGGACCTCTCTGGAAGAGGCGACGAAGACGTGAAGCAAATTTGTAGTACGGCGTTGAACCAAGTGCCTCCGGACATGGTGCAACTCGACGACAAGATGGTGAAAGTTCTTGTCTCGCTGCTAACGGCGTCCGGGAGCTCCATAATTGGAGACAGTGGACATAACGTTTCAGAGCCATCCGTGCATGACCTGAAGCCGTGGAGTTTGCGATCTGCCTCTATCGCTGAAAATCCTGTCGATGTTCAATCGTCTTGGGTCAACTATGTCTGCCAAGACTTCGAGGTGGGCACGTTTTCGCGTTGTCTCCGACTACCCATGAAATCATTTATTTCGTAAGGAACCCACAAGCAGCCCCAGAATAAAATCTTTGGCGCTACAACCAACGGTTGTTTCTTAGGTTTACTCAACGGGACGAGGTGAACACATTCAGAAACTAGACTATATGCTGTCTGGGAAATCGTAGACATACAGGTACTTTCTGACGCTATGAATTCATTGCTAATATGTCTCAGACTCTTCTCTATGATAGAGATGGATTCGTTGTGTCATATTAAAAAAAAAAAACAATAGGCGTAAATCCGCTTGACCACGATCTTGCAACGGGATAGCCGCCGTTGACAAACTTCCCCAGTTAAATCACAGCTTTCAGACACCGATCATCTTCCTTCTCGAAGTTCTAAGGTTCTCACTCCGCGTGTCATTCATGGGTCCCACTGCTATGTCGACGTTGCCTTGCCACGTGGACAAAGTTTGTGTTTGTACTGTAGACTATCGTGTTGCTTCCTGTCGGGTATTGACGGGGGGGGGTATGTGCCTTCGATAGTTTTGGCAAGTTCAACGTGTATCCCCTACAGGTGAAATATGTCGACGTCAGTGAGAGAAACGCACACGTCACATTGTGAAAATGCATACCATGGTAATTCCAAGAGACAAAACCTCAACATCGAGAATGTCAAGAACCACACAAAGAAACCAACGAGTATCGCCCCTGCCGGTGGCGCGCGTTACTCAGCTTGCACAAAACACTGGTAAAACCGCACAGGTATCCCCAGCTCACGTGGAGCAACCACCTCTGTTACCCGGGAACGTGTGCGGAGTAACGTCTGGGCAGGCATCGGCCGGTGGCTTGGACGTACGCCGGAACAAACCAGAGTCATCTGATGATCACACTTTAGGTGCCTTCGCCAAAATCGTTTTCAAGATCCCCAAGGGCTCGGGGACTCACATGGTCGCCACGCTGTCGAGAGAAAACAAAACATCGAAGCTTCTTGAAAACTAACGCCACTATGTAACTACCTCTAACCTATTCGTTTAGTACAAACATCTTATGGTCACAAGAGGGAATTTGGGGCGTCCGCATCCAGTCCGCTCGCGTCTACACTGCTCTCTTTGCACGCGACTTCGGCTCCGTTTGGTGTGAAAATCACGCCACACGCTTGCAGGAACGCCACTCCATCTTCGTCCGTATCGAAGATCAGCTCGCCCAGGACGAACGATAGTGATATTGTAGGTCGGTACGCCTTGATAATTCGACGCAACGCCTCCACGCGCATTGTTTTGAGGAGTTTCTGCATGATGTGCTGACCAAGGTTGGGAGTGGTCTTGTACAAGGAGAAGAAAAGGTGGTAGTCCGTCATTGCCACCGCCTTGCGAACACGCAAAGCGTGGTTGATTGCCGGGGCTTGCTCGCCAGCCGGCAGCTCCTGAAGAATTTTCTGAAGCCCCGTAGATCCCCCAGAGCAGCTTGTTTGAAGGTAGAGATAGTACAGCACGCGGTATGCTGTAAACTCTTCCTGAGATCCCTCAAGCCCGCAGGCGTAAAGCTCCTGCAAAAGCAACGCCAGGTGCGTCCGAAAAAATCAAGCGTCAGACTGCTGTGTCGGACAAAAAGCATCCGACCCGCAGCGGCCCTTTCCAAGACATGGCCAGGTGACTTATAAACATCTGACGGTGATATAACGAAGGCAGAAGCACAAATAGGTGTAACAATACCGCAGCTGCTCTTTCGTCATGCAACTTGCCGCTCCGTCTCCGTCCCAGACAGCTCTTACTATACCATACTACACAAGGAGGAGATACGCCCCCTGCACCTGCTCAAACCTGTAATATTTTTTTCAATAAAAAGTCAGTTGGGCTTCAAGCAATGTGCATGTTTAAGACTACACCGTCTCAGGAAAGTCAAGCCTGTGTGAAGCAACACATTCTCAACAGTACCAGCCCACTTCAGAAGGCGAACACCAAACTTGCCTGGAGCTGAGTTTGGCACTGGTTGTACTGGTGGTGGGGTGAAGGGGGCCACGGGCGACGAGGTCAGCGGGGGGAGACAGAGCAATCGAAGCAAAGGCAGCAGGGTGTGGCGGGAGTTGTCGTTCTCAGTGGGGGCACGGGTTGGTCGGGCCCAAGAGACTTGTGTCGTCTACAGAAAAAAGTGCTTCGGCGACGAGTGGATTCGACTATCCGCTCGATCACGCTGGTGCGACTGGTAACAGCCTGAGTGGATCTCCACCGAGAATCTCACGGCATGCTTTTACAAGACGCGAGGGCGACGGGATAGATATCATGGATGGCCTACATTGCAGTATAATTTCGGAGTGAGAATAAGCTTGCGTGCCTGCCTAGTCGTGTGTCGAAAAAGCGCAATCCTTCTACCTTCATCTCGTTGATATTGCTACTGAAAAACGTCCTGTCCATCATCTCATTACCTCGTTTAGATCCCCCTGCTGCAGAGCAATCCGAGCATGCCCTTCGTAAACCTGTACCGTGAAGGCGTTCTTTATCCGCTGGACAACACAATCCTGACGGATTGCCTTGAGTTGCGAGCAGGCATAGATGTAGTCCAGTCCTCCTTTCGCCCACTTGGCAGAGATGTTCTCCAAGCTCTTCTCCAGGATAGACTGTGGACGCACGCTCGCTGGGTCTGGAGGCTGTGTGAACGTGCGAACCAAGGTGTTGCTGATGGGTCAGGATAGGCCGATTACTCCGGGCCTTTGTGTTGAATAAGTGGACAACACAAAAGTCCAATTCCACGGCCTCTCCCTCTCGTGACATTGCTTGCATTCTTAAGTAACATTTGCAAGCTTCAGTGTGCTAGATTTCGGTGAAACCCTTCTCGTAGTGCAGGTGGAGGACTACACCTTATCTCGAGGTGCCACTGGATTATTTAACATGTCGCAAAAACGCGCACGCTCTTGTTTCGATGCGTACCTGGAACTTGAACAATCAAATATTGAGACCTGCTATAGACTGATTGTGAACACGCCATCCCGTTCAAGTGGGTGGGGCATGTTGGACTTCTGAACACGACACGGGTAGACACTGCTCTGCTCAGCACGGGCGACTTCTGTCAACGATCTCCTCCCGTAAAACAGTTGCTACGGTTCATGTGCCGACTGCAGGGTAACCTTAGGGACGAGGGTCGTCCTATCCCATGCGCACAGACCAAGACCTACAAAGCCGACTCAGCGCAAGAACGGTGCGAGGGCACGCGCAACGCACGTCGAGATACGGTATGTGCAGACCAGGCCCATAGACTGACACATGCGGTGGCCGAACCTGAGTCAACCTCAGGTAGTCCTTCTCGAGTTTGGTCGATGTCCCCTTGATTGTGATCGCGGCCCAATCCACCATACCGTTGTCGTCTACCATCGGCTTGCTCTGGAACGCCAGATCATTCCCCGTGCGCGACGACGAAGACGGCGGTGGGCGCATCCCCAGATCGAACCTCTCCAGGCGGTTAGACAACCGTCGCTGGTCCGCCTGAGGCATTCTGGAGAGGGAACCTTTGCCCTTTCGTGGGGTAGCTGCTGCGCGCGCCTCGATCTGACCGTGACTGCAACAACAAAAAAAGCCAGACCAACCGCCGAGGATGATGAGGAGCGGCACAAACACACACCATGTAACAGAGACAAGTGCGGTTAGACTACCCTGCTGACTGAATACATGGAGCTGTGCGTTGCGTGAGGCCTCAGGCCTGCACAGAGAACCGATAGTGCGCGAAAAGCGGCCTTGACTCACTTTCGCTTCTTGTTCTTCTCGCCTTGGCGATTTCGCCCCGCCCCCCGCAAAGGAGACCGCTCTCTCTTGGAGGCCACCAAGCTGAAACAGAGCAAACATACACGGGCGACAGCATCCGCTCAGATAGATCTTGCTACAATTCAAAACAGCGCACTCTTCTAGTATCAGGCGATGATTCGGGTTTTCGATGCGGTCAACAGTCTAACCGTATTGTTTTACTGCCTCATTCGACAGCAGATGAACCCCTTCCGTACCTAGGCAGCGGCTCGTTGTCCCAATCTTTTGTGAGCATGGCGTTTTCTGCCATGGCGTCCGTCACCTTGCGGTGCAAGGCCTTCTCGAGCTGCGCATGTTGCTTCGAACCTTGCTTTTTGTCGCACTTATCGAATGCTCGCTGCAGATAGCGCCTGAGCGAGGATGGCCAAGCCCCGTCGTCTCCCGGCTCCTCCGTGCGACGCTCAGCTTCCTTTGGGGCAGGTGGCGCACTCCTGTGTTTGGAAAGGACAGGACTGCCCCGGTGGCTACCATTCCCGGTTGTTTGTGGCTGCGGAACCTGGGGTAGGAAGAGAATCATGGCGAAGCATTTCGTTTCAACCCTACTTACCATAGCTGTGCACAGCAGAGATAACAAAATTCGCAGGGAATCCAGCAACGACGTCAATTCCCAATACACAGCAGTAGCAGGCGTGGATTTTTTTATCGGTTGCACTCGGCCATGTATGGCAACTTCGCACTCCTATTCTTTGCTGGCGTTCACCTCTTGGCTAGTGACCAGACCCGCGGGTGCCTCTGATTTGTGGGTAGCAGAAGAACGTTGGTCGAGCGCACGCGTCTCCTTTTGTTCACCTGCATCGGGAGGAGGGGGCGGGGGGGGGGGGGGGGGGGGGGGGAACGGGGCCCCCAAAACCGGGGGGTTTGGCCGGAACGGGGGCTGCCCCCTTTCCGGGGGCGGGCGAAAATGGTTAACCTTTCGGGGAAGGGGCCCGGGCGGGGGCCCCTTGGGGGCAACCCCGCGGAGGTGGAGGGAAACAAGTTGCAACCCCCGCCCCCGCGGGGGGAAAACCCGTTGGCCCAAATTGTGGGGGCCCCCCTCTTGGAAAGAACCCCTCAAAATTGGGGGGGGGGGGGCACCCCCGGAACCGCCAAGAAAGGCCCCTTTTTAATTTAAACCCCGGGGAGGAGCCCCCCCCCCCAAAAAGCCGGGGGGGGAAAAAAACCGAAAGG